TGTCTGGCTGATTGAGTGATGAGGACCAGCTGGATTTGCTGGTTTCCTGACTTATGCAGACTGTAAATTGTTTTACTTTATAACTCTGATCTGGAAGCCTGGAGGTTCATGTGAAAAAGGAACTCCAAGATTATGCAGATGGTGCAAAGCTCACTGTTTCCTGAACGGAAGCACAGAGGGGTGTGAAAAGGACCGATAAGTTAAATGAGAAAGAAAGAAAACATGGCGATTAAATCTAAGGAAGGGGTAAACTATCTCACCCTTCCTTCTGCCCCTCTCCCTAGAGCCTGGCATGAGCCCCGTCCTTGTGAGACAAACACATCACAAACCTACTTCCTCTTGGTAAAGAGGTATGTTCCATGGGGTGTTCCAGAGCACACTCATTTTGCAGGATATTGAGTCATATATCATATTCTTTTGAAAAACTATAGTCCATGACCACGTAATAGAGTTTTCAGTGTTTTTCTGTACTGTGAAATTCCAGGAGGGGGATATTAAATTAAATTTCTTAAATTTGTATTTATCATGGGTTCCTTTTCTGGGGAGGAAGTTTTGGGACCAATGCTCCAGGGAACACTTTGGAAAACAAGTATAACGATTAACAATAGATTAAGACAAAATATCTGTGGGATGAACTTATTAGCCATTAACATCTTAGTCTGAATTAGTGTGGCACTGAGAACACTTTCCCACTCATCTAAGAGGACACAAAAACTGCCTGCTTCTCTGGCAGCCACTTAACACCACACAATCTAGGACTTCTTCCTTCTACAACCCAGGAGCACCTGGAGTGTTTGCTGAGGTGTTCCAGCCTCCACAGGGCTGGAGTTGGGGGCGAAAGCCAAGGAAGGAGCACAGAAATAACAGCTCTGTGTGATGGGGATGGGTGGTGCAGAGCTCTTGGCCAGTGCTTTGTCCAGGGTAGCAAGCACAAGTCTCATATCACACTATATGGCACCTGCATTGATAGGCTTGAACACAAATAATCTAAAAAGAAATCTCAAATTCATAGCTCCTTAACACCAGTACAATCAGATTACTGGCCTTCACTTGCTACTAAAGACAGAAGTTTTATTTAAAATTTTTAATGAAATATAATAGATGGATGTATACACACAAATGAACACATTCACATGTGCAAAAATGCACAAAACAACTATAAAATGAACATGCAGATAAAAAACCAGAACAGTTAGCACCTTCAAACTATTCCTTTTCATTCACCCCACCAATCACCATTCTTGCTTTTATGGTAAGTTTCCTTGCTATTTATTGTTCTACTTCTAAATGAATTTCTTTCAGCAATACAAATCCAAGCTTCCTGAACTGGCCGGCCTGTGCCTGGCGTCTCTTCTTTGATAACATACTGATGAGACTCATCCATGTTGCTCTGGAAGCAGTGGTTTGATTTTCCTTGCAGGCAGAATTTTCACTGTTCTACTGATGTACACTGAGAGGTTTCCATTTTTTGGTTTCATAATGAATGTTATTGTGAACATATGTGTATATGCATCTTGTTTCATAGGAAGAGGGATTTGGATCCAGGAACACAATATTTGGGGTGTAGATTATGACGTAGATTCTATTTTAATGTATGTTGCAAAATTGTTTTCTACAGAGGACTATCAATTCACACTCCACCAGCTTGTCTCCCATTCAGTTCTGTATCTCTTGGGAGGCTCAGGATCTTTCAGTCTGTTGCAGATGGTGTGTGTGTGTATGCAGTAGTAGTAGCAGTAATTTGTTGTGATCTTTTGATTTCTTCAGTTATGAATGAAGCTGAGCAATTTTTTTAATGACTAAAAAAGAGATTGTATTGCTCATATACTTGTTGCTCAGTGGCTGCTCAAGTAATTCTCTTGCCATAAATTTGTAGGGGGCTCTTGGTATATTAAGGATAGTATTTGCTAAGCACTCTGTGAATTGTTTACTTACTTCCTTTGTGGTATTTGTTAGTGAACAGAAGTTTCTCATTTCAAGGTAGGTGAAAAATTTTCCCTTATAGTTAGTGCTTTTTGAGTCTTGTTTCAAAAATCTTCTTCCACCTTGAAGCCATAATAATCTAGCTTCTAAAATGTCGATGGTTTTGTCTTTAACACTTGATCTGCAAATGCGTATTCTAATGACATGAAGTAAAGCCTACCTTCGTTCTCCTCCTCTCTCTCTATCAGATGTGCAACAGCCCCACAGTGCCCAGCATCAGCACCCTCTGTGAGGCACTTAAGGGGCTACACGTGGATGTTCTTGCATTTTCATTGTTTCATGGAAATGTAAGTTTTTGGTGGAAAGAGGAAATAGCAAAGGGCAGTTTTGAGGAGGTAACTGGAAACACATAGTGGTCTTGTGGGAATTTCTGAAACTACACTTGAGAGCAATCGGCTCCTGAGATGGGGAGAAGGAGATGGTGTTAAGGGATGACTGACCCCTTTGTAAATAGAAATGTGAAAAACAGATACTACCCAGCTGGGGCAAATGTTGATGACATACATAGCCTTACACTGCTTGTGGAGACTGGTTAGAGTGTTGAAGATGAATGTCAATGTATGCTAACAGCTTCTACATTTGATTTTGCAAGTTCCTTTTGATGTTTGATTTCTAACACGTAGAAAAACATTGAATTTTGTGTATTGATCCTGTATCCTGTAACTTTGCAGGATACACACACACACACACACACACACACACTAAGGAATTCACACACAGTTCCATTTGTGTGTGTGAATTCCCTAGGATTTTCTATATACAAGATTATGTCACTGTAAATGGAGATGATCTCACTTTCTGTTTTCCAGTGTGGGCACCTTTTCCCCGCCCTTGGCTGATTGGTCTAGCTAGGACTTTCGGTACAATGTTGAACAGAAATGGCAAAAGCTGACATAAAGATCTTATTCCTGACTCAAGAAAAAAAAAATGCAGCTTTTCCCCATTAGGTATGATATTGTTTCTGACGTGTGAGGTACTTTTCTTTGCGCATGTGACTTTATTTCACAGCACCAATAATAGCTCATTTTTTTCAGCAAGCAGTAGGCAAGAAACATTGCCCCTATAGGTGGGTATGCACTTCATATTGGTCACTAAGCCTGCTCCCGGGGCCCTTTTTATTATTTTTTACCCAGCTATGTGGTGTGAGATCAAAGCTGGTCCAACTCTCATAGCAGGGCAGCTGGTCGTGGTGCTCTGCCCCACGGTCCTGAGGAGTCTGGATCTCTGGGACAGAAGTGCTACTTCAATGTTTGCTCACTTCACACTTAAGGACCTTGTGCTCTTGCTACAGCCTTCAGCTGGGAGCCATTTCATTGGCCTCCAGCCTGCTCTTCTACACCTGAGGCTCCTTGCTGCTAATCACCCCCACGTGATGGCCCTAAACCAAGGCCTTTAGAAGCTGGAACTCGAGTGCGCCTGTGTCCTCTTGCTCCTCAGCTCGAAGGCCAATGTTTGGCGGTGTGCTGGCCGACAGGCTCTCCAGGATCTCAGACGTGCTCTGTCACATCAAAGACTTGTTTACGGGGTCTGTCACGTGGTTGTTCAGGACAGTAGTTTCCAGCTCCCGTCCTCCCTGGTCATCTACAACCTGGCTATAGTGGCTCCTCCATGATTCCAGTGTGGAGACAGCTTCAGCCTCCTGTGGATTCTTGCAGCAAGTTGCATGCATACTCCTGGCTCTTCTCAGCCCCTTTCTGGCTCAGACAGGCCTCTTAGAGGTTTCTGTCTCTATCGCCCTTTGCTTCAATTCCTTCGGCTACTCCAGGACGGCCTCTGTCTCCATCTTGTGCTGGTTCCCACTAAGCTCCAGGTGACTGGCCTTTGCTTTTGTTTTTGCCTCTTAGCACCTAAGCTGTGAACAAAATTGTTCCATGCATGGACTCTGAGGACTTGGAAAGCTTGAGGCTTCTTCCCCTGTTTATCTCACATTGTATTTCCTAGGGGTGTTTTTCCACTTCATCCCTGCCTCGTAGAAGCAGCCGCCAGCACACTTTCTCAAAGCCTGCCTCTGGTGGCCATTTTAATGGCGGCCCTTGTTGCTGAGTGAGCCTCTTTGCAGGGCTGTCCCTCGGCAAGCCTCTGAGGGGGGACTTGCCTCAGATGTGCAGTGTCATTTGTGTCTCTGCCTTCAGCTCTCCCGTGGTGCCCTTTGGGTTGACTGGCGTGGCGGCCGCAGCCCGGGCCAGCTCTGCCTCCACCAGCGTGGACTTGAGGCGCTGCTGCTGCTGCTGCCAGCTTTCTTCTGAGGCACGCAGTCCTTGAAGCGCTGAGGGCCTCAGCGTGTGTTCTGCTGGGTCTCAGCCGTCTGGTGGGTTCCTCTCTCCAGTTCCCCCTTCTACTCCAGGAGTACTTTGGTCCTCTGGGCATCTTGACCTCAGGCTTGAGACAGCCGACCATGTTTGGTTGTTAAGGCTGTTGTCAGAATCGTTCATTTTACAGGGCTTCTGAAGAGAGGTCATTTAACTGCATCACCGAGATCAATTTTTCCGAAGATGGTGGGATGATCTCCAGGCAGCGAGATGGAGTCCCCCACTTGCATCCCACATGCCGCGTGGGGGATTTTCTGGGGCCACCTGAGTGTTTCCCAGGTACCCCATGTTCTTGGAGCCCTTTCACTGCATGCAGCGAGACTGCATCACACGTGCTGCCGGGCGTCCTCGAGACCTTTTTCTGCACGCGACTCCTCACTCCCATTCTCCTCACAAATGGAAACCAGGAGCGACATGGCCGCACCTTGAAAAGCCTCCTAGCGAGGTCGCTGCGGCTGGAGTGCAGAGCCTGCCTGGGGGATGCCGTCCAGCACTGCCCCAGCCTCCCTGCTCAACTGTGAGTCTTTCTTACAAGTTCCTTTCAATTCCTACTTTTGAAGTATTCTTTTAAATGAAAGGATATTGGATTTTGTCCAATGCTTTTTTGCTATCAAACTAATCTTCCAAACTTGGGATAAATCTCACCTGGTCATATTGTATAATGCCATCTAGTGCTACTGAATTTGAATTTGGTGTTTAAGTGTTTTGTTGAAAATGCCTTTCTATGAAGAGATATTGGTGTATAGTTTTCTTTTGATTTTGCTGCAGGTCTCATACAGAGATGAGATGTATTTGTCATTGTTTTTGTTGTTTGGAAGTCTTACGCAGGATTGGTATTAATTCTTCAAATATTTGGTTGATTTCACCAGTGAAGTCATCTGGGCCCGCCCTTTTCTTTGTGGGAAGTTTTAAAATTACTAATTGAATTGCTTCTCTTGTATTGATTTAAAGTCACATAATTTCTGCTTGAAACTTGGAATTTGTATTTGCTCTAAGTTATCTAACTTGTTGGTATTTAGTGGCTCATAGCTTGCCTTATTTTTCATTTTAATTCCTATGAAGGTTGGTTTTGATGTTCCCTCTTATTTCTAATTTAATAATTTGAGTTCTCATTCTTTTGGTCTGCTACCTAAGATCTGTCAATTTCGCTGTAGATCATGTCCCATTTTTATAGTTGAGTTGTTATAAGAAGGCACTAAAAAAGCGAGGGGTTGCCCTCAAAGGCCCTGGGAGGGTACTGAGGTAAACTCGAGCCTTTGCCACCCCACTTCTGAATGCCTTTGCGGTTGGTCCCAAGCGTCTCTCCTGAACTCCTTCCTACCTTTCCCTCGAATGTGTTTGCTAGAGTTTGGCACTGAGGGGCAGCACAGGGAGCTCCTGGAGCGCCTGGCTGTAGTAGTGGGCAGGGTTTACTCGGTACCATCCTGTCAAGATAGAAGAACCATGGCCCCGTGACCAAATGGCCTGGTGTCAGAACTCACCGATACTGTTTTTGTCGTGTTTCCAGTTCTTTGCGTCTGTGCTGCTTCAGAATGTGAATCTGGTCATCCCGGGCCAACTTTGCTGTGGGGGAAGGACACGTATGAGAAAAGTCTGCAGGAGGAGGATGGCAATGTCCAAGTTCAGGTTTCCCGCCCATGCCTGGCCCCTGCTGAGGGCTGTGCACACAGCATCTCATTGACGCCTGAGACCACACCTCTTTTTTACATGGAGGAAATGGAGGCTGACTCCCTTGGCTGTTGGATTTGCCCAAGATCACACAGCTAATTTGTACATTTTTCAACCCAAGATCCAGACCCCATGCTGACAGACTTAGTCCCCATCTTCATGCTTGCTCACTCAGCTCTCTCTGGTGAAGGGTCAGGCTTTTAAAATGGCCATTTCATCACAGATGGCAATTTTTATGAAGTATGATGAAAACAAGCTATTAGAAACTGAAACAAATCAAAAACACTCAAAACACACGCCCTGTTATTGTTACTGGATGCAGCAGTCAGTTTTTCTGGAAGTTGTGATAAAAGTTTGTGATAAAAGTTTGTGAACACCCACCCTCGGTCTCTGGGTACTCATTACCGGTAGCTGACAGGCTTTAGCTCCTCTGGGTAATGCAGCTCCAGTTCTAGGCTTGGAACTGGGGTCCAGAGAGCAAAACTCAGGGGGTGTAAAGCTACCCAGGTGGGGGGGCTTGAGCCCACAGAAGGCAAGAATGTTAATTTTGGGGCACACTGCACTCATTGGCTGTAGGGGGCTCTGTGGCGGGTACTTGCCAACATCGCCTCCATCCCATCTCAAAGCCCCAGACACTTCTTGGGTACCTGGCTCTGAGGAGTGGAATTGCTTCAGTTTCCTGTATGAATAAGGCATGACATGCAGAATTGCACACACCAAGTTTCCAAGGTGTTTAACACCATTTTCCCTCACCCTGAAGGTATTGGAACACTCTACCCTCATGTCTGAGAAATCTGGGAACTTGGCAGGTGACTCAGGAGCGTTAGGGGCGCAGATTCCAAAAGACCCATAGAGAATCTATTCCTTCAAACAGGTGCTCTGTGTCCGTGGGATGGAGTGAATTTTGAATCTTTTTTTCTTCAGTAAGGTCGGGAAACAAAAAAACATGCTAGTCCCAAATTATTCAGTTCAGAGTATTGTTGGAATTTGGCTTAAAGTCCACCTTGGGGACGAGGGGATATGATCTCACAGTGTGAGAACACCAGGTGCAGAAGCATGTCTCCTCTTAGCTAAAAAGTGTGGGTGCTAGTCCTCCTTTGACCTACCCTGTACCTTCCTGGACAGCCAAAGAACACAGAACTAGGGCTAGGGGATGCATGTTCAGGAGGGAGGTGACACTGGCAGCAGCGGTTGCCCTTCATCGTTCTGGTGGGTACATGGCGCCTGAGGGCTTACAGCTCAGGCTTGCAGTGTGAGGAAACAGCCGCATTATGACTGCAGAAAAGGCAGAATTTTGCTAAGGCATGGATTTAATGCATGCTCTGAGGGGCTGGTGTACAAGGGGAAGCCATTCAGAGATGGTGGCCTTACCTGGCCTCTGCCATCGGCTGCTTTTTCCCTGTTCGAAATTGGGCTACTGTGTGTGCCTCTTACAATGTGTGACCACTTGAGGGTCTTGCCTAAGAGAGGTGGTTTCTGATTCTTTTTCAATAGAAAGCGGCACTTCAGGTTTAATAGACATGAATGAACACTGTGCCTGCCCACAGCCTTGCTGAGCTGGCACAAGGGATGCTCCTGGTCAACCCTGTCTCTTCTCAGGTCTTCATGGGGTGCCCTGGAGCCCCAGTCTTTCTATGTCCTCACTGAGGGTAGCCTGCACCTAGAGTCTGTGAATCTGGAATGTGATGTTATTACCTTGACCCTGGAGAACAGCCAAGCCAGGGATCTGGCCTAGAGTATTTGTTCCCAGGGCCCCTATTAGCAGCTGATAGGAAGGGTCCATAATCTTCTCCTGAAGGACTGGAGCGTTGAGGGAGGACATGGCTCATGCGTGACCCCCTCTCCACCCTCTGTGCCTGGGGCTTGTTTGTACCTGGGAAGCTCGCCCGCCTGCAGGTGCTCAGCCACTGACAGCTGAGCTAGCTCTCCTACCAGGCAGTCTTGGTTCCTGGGACGCCCAGAAGGGAAAGGGGTCTGAGCCACTGACCTCGTCCGTCTCTCAGGATGATGTTGCCCTCGCCCGTGATCCAGCGGTAGCAGGGGAACTCGATGTAGTCCCCATTGGGTGTCTTCAGCGTGATGTACTTTAGGTACCAGTCGTCATGCAGCCAGTACTTGCGCTTCTCAATTTTAACAAGCTGGATGTCACCCAGCTCTTCATCCACTGTCACATCGTAAGAGTCAACCTGAGAAGGAGAAAAGCAACTCAGACCTTCTGGTTCTCCAGAGCCCTCGTCCATTCACTTTCATTCCGAGACAGCTGCCCACTGCCCCATGCCAGGCTCTGCTGTGCTCTGGGGACAGAGAGGGACAGGTGCTAATGGACACAGAGACCATGGCCACCGCTGCCCAGGGGGGGGACGTTCTGTTGTCAGCATGTGGTCCTGGCTGGCGAAGTTGTGGACTGCAGGCAGGAAGCCCCTCGCTGGGCTTGCTCCGTGAGGTCCCCTTCAGCTGTCCCCATCACTGCAAGGCAGCTAGGCTGTGGCCTTCTTATCCTGTTGGCTGGTGGGGGAAACTGGCGCTCACATGTAGGGGCAAGAGGCGGCTGACTATGGCTTTTTAAAAATTTTATATATCTATTTACATTATTGTTCTTTTTATAACAATGTTCACTTTCCCCCTCCCCTCCTGTCATCACCATAGTTCCCCACATTCCTCCCTTCTCTTATCCTTCTCTATTCCCCTCCCATGTAAGGTCTTTGGTTTATAATTGTCTGTTTTTGTTTTGTTGTGTTTTGTATTGTAATAAGTATACACTTATTCCCATGTCTTATTTGCTTCTCTTAAATTCCTCCTATAAGTGAAACCACTCGATATTTTTCTTTGTTCTTCTGACTTATTTCACTGAGCATGGTCCCTTCCAGCTCCATCCATGTTGCTGCAAATGGCATTTTACCTTTTTGATTGCTGAATAGTATTCCATTGTATATATACCGCAGCTTTTCGATCCACTTACCTAGTTCTGGGCATTTGGGTTGTTCTCAGGATTTACCTACTGTAAGTAGTGCTGCAATAAATAGAGGGATGCATGAATCCTTTTGAATTAACGTTTTTGCGTCCTTTAGGTAGATCCCTGGGAGTAGAATTGCTGGGTCATGTGATATTGACTGACTGTGGGTAAAGGTGCCCGCAGCAACACTGGAGGAGGGAGGCTGAGCTGTGTCAGATGAACAGAATGAAGCTTGGCAAGTTCCATGTCAGCTGCTCCTTGACAGGACTGGGCTTTAGTCTAGGTCCTTCTGGCACAGCCCATGATCTAGCCCCTGTTCTAGACCGGGCAGAGAGTTGTGTGAAGGTTGGGAAGCTCAGACACCCTTGAAGTGGCACAGATTCCAGTCAGGTACCTGCAGTCCCCTAAGCCACTGTGTGGCTGAGAAAATTAGACTAGCAGTTTCCAACGTGTGGCAGAGCGATGGGATGGGCTTGTCTGGCTGCTGCAAGGCCCCACCTCTCAGCATGGCCCCCAGGCCCTGAGACAGAGCACCCCATGCTGTCCCTTTCCATGAAGGAGGTAGAGGCCACTGTGGTGGTGCTGGGCAAACCTGCCATGACTTCTGCTTAAATTGTTTCTTTCCCCAGCGGTGGGATGGAACATGTTTATCCTTTCCCTCAGAGCTTCCAGAAGAAACCCTGGGGCACTCTGTAGAGGAATGGGAAAGTGGCGAATCTCTTGGCTCTGAGCAGTTTGCACGTTGTGTACCCCTGTGCTCAGCAGCAGAAGCCTCCTTCCTATGCCTGTGGTGTGTGCTCTCTGTAAGAAACCGTTTGAGGCCTGGGCCTGGCTGGGGTGACGCTCCCTGGTCCCTCACCAGCTTGCCAGCACATCTGTGCTCCACTCTGCTGCAGATGAGTGGGGACACAGGTGAGTTCACTCAGCACAGACACCTGCTGCTGTCATCTGTGCCACCTGCTCTCCCTCTTGCATCCTGGAGGGGGGCTCCCTGCACAGCATGCCCCACACTTCCCATGAGCAGCCTGAGCCAGCCAGGGCCTGCCTGGAGAGCCGTCTCTGAGCTCCGTGTGTCCATGTGAATAGCCAGAAGTGGATGTGGAGGGAGAAATGAAACCAGTGAGCTCACACCTCTGGGC